TTCACTCCATTTTGCACTGCAAATGCAATGCACTACCGTTGTTACGTATTAGTTTATTGACATCCATCAAATTTTAAATTTAAAGCTTACTGAAAAATTTTTTTTTTTTTTTTTTTTTTTTTTGGTTACCTAGATGATATAATGTTCCATGCGCTCCATTACAATATCGAAACGTCGTGTCGGTCGACAGTGACGAAGAAGGTTTCGAGAATCGTTTGACACGGTGCAATTTAAAGCCTAAGTACTTTTGATTTGTCTGCTGATTGATTCATGGTTGTCGTTCGTTTCCGTCGCCCTCTCCAATGAAGCGTTTATTGTCGGACATACGAAAGAGAAGCCAAAGAACGGGACTCGTCGCGGTCGGTCGACGCAACGCTGTAAAACCGTAACGCAGCGGTTCTTTCGCTCTATGCTAAACTCTGTTTTACTCTTCCGCTTTTTTTTTCTTTCATATTTATCTTGCCTTTTCGTCTCTAGGATTTTTCTTTCTTTTGTTCGTTCGCCAGTGCGTACAAAACATTTCTCGTCTCAACTTATTATTCATCAACCAATTTTCTAACATTCGGCGACGACGTTCGACTCGACTCCTATAGTCCGTATTCGTGCACAAACTATTTCCGAGACCAAACTAAACCTACGCTTTGTACTCTGGTCGACCTCTGAAATAATTCATCACACGCGCAAGCAATGGATATCCCAATTTTTTTCTCTGCTTTCTATTATACAATTTATACGTAATATATACGTACATGTATATATATAATATGCATATGCACATATGTATATATCTAATAGATAAATGTATATTCATCCATCCATATATATAAGAGTGAAATGGTGTTCAGCGTGATACTGGAGTATAAGACGCGAGACGATCGAATCTAGCTACGAAAAACAATTAGTCCGGTCGAAAAACGAAATCTAGAAAAGATCCTGCATGGATCGTCGATATATAAGGCACGCTCTACTAGTAAATAAATTTCACTGTCGACGAATGCTTCCACTCGAGTTTCGACACATCTTGGTTACTTTTCGTCGTTTTACAGGCCACGCGTTGAGCTACGATCGTTCGAAATTATTATCATTATTTATATTACGGTGTGCAGAACCACCGATTTCTACGTGTCCTTTGTAATGCCAAATGGCGAATATATCGTATGTTCGTCTGTTTTACAAACTCTACGGGTCGCGCACAGCGAGAACTGTTAGACTCGAATTGTCTCGAGGTTCCTATGCTCTGGTATATCGGTTGAACACCATTCTCGTTCGACGACTCCGCGACCGTGCGGCCGCTATTCCATACGCACGCGGCAAAGACAATCGGCGCAGCCTGAGAGTTTTAATACTTTAAGACAGACTTCCTGCGAAAGCTTAAAAAAACTTTTGTTTTCCTTTTCTTTCTTTGTGTGTATGTGTGTGTTCCTTTTCTTTTTTTACTTTTTGTTCGTTTATATTCACCTACGCTAAATACCGCCATTTAGAAACTTCACTTTACATTACGCCACGAAGGCGATCGATTGGGGTTACTATGTTGCTGGATGCATGGTCGTATGAAGGATCCACGCGTACTCGAATTCACAAACTTTAACGTTTATCTTTCTCCCTGTGTTTGTTCAAAATTTTATGTAATACCGCGTATCGGATCTAATTGATATTCGATTCGAGAAGATTGTTAGAAACGATCACGTTAAACGTCGATAAATTCGAGCACACCTGGTAACGATAATTTATACATTTATACAGCTGTATCCGTTACGTATAGGATAAAGAAGTTTGGCAAACAGTAATGTTAATCGACGGCACGAAGGACTTATCCTCTTAACGTGTGTTACGTTTGTATCTACTTTGCTGTGGTGTATGTGTATATGTATGTACGTATGTACCTGTACGTGTGTATATGCTCTGATGTCAGTGTAATTATTATACATATCGATGGTAATGGTACCGCGATAAGGCAAGGCATCAAGAAGAAAGGAAAAGAACAGCTGAAATCGGCTTAGCCTCAAGAATTCTGAAGGTATTTTTTATGGTAGAAGAGAAAATTACGACCACAGAACGAAAAGACACTAAATCGCTATCGTCGTGGAAGATGAAGAAATTTACGCTCTATCTATTTTTCATCGAGATATTTAGATCCAAAGCTTACTATCAATTTAGATCGAAAACCATTAATATTAGAAAATAGAACAGGTGTGTATCAGCCCGTGCGACGTGAATCAGATAACACAATTATTTATAATCATAACGATATTAAATCTGCCTATCAATAATAATAGTACAAATAGTGCTACTACTATCATAGTACAGTTAAAATACACAAAAGGCGCACATTTATAGGCGGTACAAATATATAGTATAGCCATATAGCGAATAGGATTATTCGTAACATTCCGAATTCGGCTTATTCGTACGATTGTATAAAGTTTCTAAATTATAAGGAGTTTACATAGACCTGTTTTAGCTTCGTTACAATTCGTAATTATTTTTATCAAGCACTTATACCATTTTAACTACTTCAGAGTTACAAAAAGGTTATATAGAGTTAATTAAAATTACATTTCCGTACAACTGCAAACTCTTCGGAAAGATTCCCAAACGTTGAAAAATAAAGGAGAACCTTTGGAAAACGACGAATAATAAGCAACCAGCATCTTTGAAACTATCTATACATAGAAAAACTCGAAAGCTCGTTCGAAAGCTATCTTATTACCAAAAAACCGATCTGGTAAATAACCGGTCTAAAGTAGAATGTCCCGTGGCACGAACGAAAACGACGAGAACGGCTGCGCATTGTATACGAACAAGAAAAGACAAAAAGTAGTAGAAGAGAACTACGAAAACGAAAAATATTCTAAACCGTACGAACATCGAAACACCAAATTTTCTACTTTCTTCCACAGCGAAGACTATCCAGCTATGCCACGGTATGCCCCTAATTATCGATCTGAATCCATCACCCTATTAAAGATGAGAAAAATCGTTAACGATAACAACGTTTTAGCAGCAGTGATGTGTTTACACGAGTGTTATCCCCCATATTTTTTTTTTTCTTTTAAAAACTATGATTAATCCTTACTCGTATAATATTATGCATAAGTCTGACAAACGTATAATACAAGTACTACCGTTCATAATTATTTGCAATATTACCATAGTATAATAGTGAACATTAAGAACATCGAAGAACAGTCAGATGTGAATCATCGATTCTAGCCTAATTTACCCGCATGATCTATCGTTTACTTCTTGCTTCCCTAATCGGACTTCATTTACTCGCTATTACGATATACAGTTGGCTTTAAAAAAAAAAAAAAAAAAAAAAAACGGGGAAAAAC